ATCTCTGCCTGAAACTTCTTCATGTCATTCTGTACCTGACCAATTTCCTTCTGAAGTTTCTGGTTTTCCTTCTTTAGCTCCCCATTTTCTTTTTGAACCTTTGGTATATCCTGCTTCAGCTCAACGTTTTCTCTTTGGAGCTTCTGCGTATTCTTGTTTAGCTCAGCATTTTCTTTTTGAAGCTTTAGGTTTTCCTTCTTCCGCTCTCTGTCTTCGTTCTGAAGCTTCAGGTTTTCCTTCTTTAGCTCAACATTTTCTTTCTGAAGCTTCAGGTTTCCTTTCTGCTGCTCAACATTCTCTGCCTGAAGTTTATGCAGTTCCGTATTTAGCTCGTCATTCTCTTCCTGAATCTTCTGGACATCTTTCTTTAGCTCACCAATATCTGCCTGCAGTCCCTGGTTTTCCTGCTGTAGCTGACCATTGTCTGTTTGGAGTTCCTTCTGTAGCTCGCCCTTTTCTTCCTGAAGTTTTTGGTTTTCCTTCTTCAGCTCACCATTCTCTTCCTGAAGTTTTTGGTTTTCCTTCTTCAGCTCACCATTCTCTGCCTGCAGTCCCTGGTTTTCATTCTTTAGCTCACCATTCTCTGCCTGCAGTCCCTGGTTTTCCTGCTGTAGCTGACCATTCTCTGCTTGGAGTTCCTTCTGTAGCTCGCCCTTTTCTTCCTGAAGTTTTTGGTTTTCATTCTTTAGCTCACCAATCTCTGCCTGTAGTCCCTGGTTTTCATTCTCTAGCTGACGTAGGGATTCGCTTTGTGCTTTGCTTTCTTGCAGAAGTCTCTCATTTTGTTCTTTTATGTCTTCGATATGTCTGACACTATTAATTTCATTTTGTTGGTAGTTATTCATAGCTTGTAAGAGTTCATTGTATTGTTGCTGTAATTGTTGTGCCTTTTTTTCATTACTGAGATTTTCCTGCAGAAGTTTATTGTTTTCGTCTTCTGCCTTTTCTTTGGCCTGTTTTGCTAGCTGCAGGATTTGTTGAATATCATTAAGATTTTCTGTTAGTTGATTATTTTCTTTCTGAAGACGTTCAATCTCTTGTTTTCCTTCTTCAAAGATCTCTTTTACCATTCGTTCTTGGTGCTTTGAAGCAATGATGTCATTATTGGCTTCTTTTAAGCGTTGTGCCAGTGATTCAATCTGTTCTTTTGAGTCATTTATTTCTTCTTTTAGCTCTGCAAGAAGATCCTGTTGAGCTTTTCCCATTTCATTGTTTTCCTCCGAATGTAGAAACTCATTATCAGATTTTAGCACTTGCTTCCTCCCTGTTTGAAACTGTTGGTGAAGTTCATCAATTTGCTTTTCCAACGTCTCTTTTTCGTAAAAGAGCTCATCACGTTCTTTTCTTAACGTGTTGATTTCATCTTGTTGAGCTGCAATTAGTACATCGCGTCGGCTATTATTGTTGTCGCGGTAAAGTTTTTCAAGTTCTTCAAGCGTTAACGCCTTCTTTGAGGTATCCTCATGCTCATCATCGTATTTGGGGATAATGTGTATCCCCACAGAGCTGCTGTGTAGGACGTGATTTTTCTTAGGCGTATCGTTTTGTGATTGTTGCCCTGATAATCCTTGTTTCAAAAAGGATGAATTGTTCGATAAATGCCCCTGTTGGAGCTGCGGTGCGTACAAGTGCGTTGGATGATCACATTTCGGGCAGTATGACATCATAGTGAGAGTGCCACAGGCCCCGCACTGAGATACTTCGCTCATTGCCTTCTATAGTGTACTCGTTAAATAGGAGATGGATGTATGGTGGTTTTAATATCAAAGGAGAAATAAATAAAAATATGAAGCTAAAACTATGTTAAAGCTGTTATAACTACTTTTGACGATAATTACCTCGTGACTTTGGGCTTTCAATAATAAGAAAAGAAGTAAACAAAAAAAAAAAGAAAATATACTCCAAACAAACACACAAACACACCAAGCAACAACAACAACAACAAAAAAAAAAATCATAGTGGGAAAAAGGTTGATTTCTGTCATGAATGATAACACAAGAATGAAAGAAAGGTAGAAAATGTGTGTGAATAAGAAATATGTTGGTGTATTGTAGGCACCCACAGAGAGAGAGATACATACATACCCCTAGAAAAAAAAGAAACACAAAACACAAAAGTTCTTCTTCAACGATAGAAAAACTGAATGGCAAATCATAAAACCCATCCACGGAGTACATACTGCCGTACTCAATTGCCCACTCCAATGTTGACAGAAAATAATAATAATAGTAATAATAATAATAATAATAATAATAATAATAATAATAATAATAATAATAATAATAATTCATTACATCGTCTGAGTGTCATTAATGTCAAATGTATTTTAACGGTTTTGAAGAAGAAAACGCTCACGAAGGCGTTGTAGTTGGCTTTCTAAGAGACAACATCTTGCCTCTAAACGTCTATTAGATGCCAATAATGAGTTCTTTTCATCATCATAAATACCTTCTTTCAGCAAAGGTGTCTCCTCAAAGGTATTTTGAAGCGTTTGTAGTGAATTCTTTTCCACTATTTTTACTGGAGAGACTTGTGCTAAAGTTGGTGTAGAAACCGAAGAGTATGGAATTGTTGTGAACAGACGTTTGGCAGACACTTCTTCTTGTTCTCCTTCCCGTGGCTGTAATAATAAAGAAAAAAAACCTGCATCCCCAACCGATTGGGTTTTTTTGCCAGTAGAATTATCTGGTGTCGACTTATCAGTCGTCGGACACACGCCGCTTGAAGATTGCCTACTCTTTTCCAACTCCCGCAACGACCGAGTCAGTCTCACTCGCAATTGTTGTGATTCTGCAAGAATTGACTGTTGTTCAATTTCCGTTATACCTAAACGTACTTCCGCTTGTTCAACAGCGACCTGAAGCTTTTTGTTTTCTTCGATAAGTTCTCTGATGGTACTCTCTCCCAGCACTCGCTGTTCTTCCATGGCCTGAACTTTCTCTTTAAGCATGTCCCTTTCGGCACTGACCTTTTCAAGCTGATCTAAACAAACACGGTACCGCCACTCGGTAAGCGTCATCTGGGATCCATTTTTCTTGCAAGATGGAAATGAGGAATCTGATGCACGCAAACATTTATTACCCCCCTCATGATGATGATGATTATTATTATTATTACTTTTGTCTATGATGATACTAACAGCACGGGGTCTCGTCTCCTGTTTGTCTACTTTCTCTGCGCCATGACGACCTAATTCCTCTTTGGGTGTATTGGCCAAATCCAAGCTTGTCTTAAGGGGTGAGGGGACCCTGGGTGTTGTGGCGACGCCGCAATTAGGACACATGTGAGGCTGCGTCTTCATGCTGCTACTGTTCACGTCAAAGAAACAGGGAAAAAGAAAACGAGAAATTGCAAGTGAACCTTATTTTCATGCAAGTAAATTAATAAAAAAAAGTAAAAACACATACATCAAGTACTTTCTTCTTCACGTCGTTTTTTTTTTTTTTTTTTTCTTTGTTCGTTCTCGTGTGCATACGTATGTTTGCGTGTGTCTGTATGTATGCTCCTCAGTCACTCCCAAGAGAGAAACGACAAGAAAAAAAAAAAGAAAACAATGGTCTCTGTCTTTGTTGCCCTTTTTTTTTCTTTTTTTTTTTTTTTTTACTATCATTACCAATTATCATTATTATTATTATTATTATTATTACTTTTTTTTTTTTCTTCTTAATCGTGATTTGGCATTTTCTACCATTTCCAGCTACGATACATTCCACTTATACAAATAATAATCATCAAAATCAGAGGCATCCATATTGTCTTAGTGTATTTTGCAACTCAAGAGGGAGTTGTGTGCATGCCTCATTCCACTGATCTCTGCAGTGCTGGATAAATGGTACCACACCTTGGTGTACGAGAAGTTTTTTCTGCTCCTCCTCCACTGTACGAGAGGCGAGAACGGCGGCGATGCAGCGCAGCATCTCGCTCCCACACTGGACGGCGATGAACTGCCCCTCCCCTGTCAAGAGATGTACGAGTGTACGTATAGCGTTCTCATTCTCTGACTTATCCACCCGCATGGGGACGTGTGTGAGCAGCACTGGGACGGCGGTGTGCAGCAGTGCGTCGCCTTGTGGGAGTCGCCGCAGGATGGAGCAGACGGCGGAGGTGGCGTTATCGACGGCGGCGGCGCTCTCGTGCTGTTCGTTCTGCAGCAGCGGGGCGAGGGCCTGCAGGAGCGCAGCGGCACCGGTGGGGTCCCACGCGTCGTTCTCCGCGGCGGTGCGCAGCAGAAACGCCGCGTTGGACCGCACGGCGGAGTCGTCGGCCGCGAGGAGCCGAACGGCGAGTTGAATGGCGGGCGCCACGAACGCCCCGCCGGCCGCCCCGAGCGCCGCCAACACGACCGCCACGCAGCCGGCCGCCATCACGACGTCCTCCGCCGGCCGCTCATCGCCGGTGTACGGCAGCAGCAGCGGCAGGAGGACCTCCGCGGAGGGCCGGAAGGACGGGCCGTACGCCTTCGCAAAGGCCTCCAGCATTTCACACACCGCGTCCATCAGCACACCGTCATGGTCCTCGCCAAGCTGTACATCCGCGTTGGGGTTCCCCGCAGCATCATTATCATCATCGTCATCCTCATCATCATCATCATCCTCGAGAAATTTTTGGCAAGGAGTACCTTGACGAAGAAGTGTTGCCACAGTATGGACAAATGCCTCAATGTCTTCTAGAATTGTTTGAGGACCAAAGAAGTTAAATAGTAATTCCAATGCATCACATGCGGATGCAACAACTTCCTTATCAGTTTCCTGATAAATACAGGGGAGTAATGTGCTATTAAGAAGAGTGTCTAACATCCCACGTGCGTATGGTGTAAGAGTATCTTCAGTAATAGACTTTACGACTGTATCTGAACCATGTGCCGCTTTTGTCAACTTTGCAAGTGTGGTGAGTGTATTACAGCGAATATTATTATGAAAATGTGTATCAAGTTGCTCCATCGCTGACCAACAAAGATCAATACGGTTAACTCCAAAATTAGCAAGAAGTACCTCAGCACATACACCAATAAAGTAAACAGCACTACTCTTCTCTTCAACATCTGCTGTTCGTACACGTGCATGAATTTCTTGTTCTTCTTCTTCCTCCTCTTCCTCATCATCATTATTATTATTTTCATCATCATTACCAGCAATATTATTATCTACTTTCATGTTAAAACTTTTCATACCCCCTTCAGCCAGTAGGTGTTTGTTTTCGTAGAGTGTTCGATCTTCATGGATAGTCTGCAATGCACAGTTAACTGAGTCATCAAGGTAAGGCATAAAATCTTCACGTAGTGTTTCACAAAGATTTGATAAGAATCCAAAACTCTCTTCTCGTAGTTCTGCTTGACGTGTTTGAAGGTTCTCTACAACTCGTTCCATGAAGAATGACAAGTGTGGCAAAAATGCCTCTTTTCCAATAGCATTTGCAATGATTCCCGCCGCTTCTGTAACCTTTGCACGCAACAAAATTGTATCTGGGGTACGAAGCATAAGAGGTCCCTTAAGTAACTCAAGGCAATGTGATGCATGAACCTGAAATGATGGACAGCGAGTCATTGCCAATGATGATATTACTCCACATAATTCCTTCTGTGTTTGAAGAGAACTTCTTCCAAGGGCGTCTAAAACGGCTGGCAGTACCATTTCCACGTAGGGTTCCACATCTTCGGCTACATTTTCACATAAGGTATCTAATGCCCCTGCAACGCGACGACGAACTCCATCCTCATCATCATGAAGCAGCGGAACAAGCATGGGAAAGAGTTGTTGATGGTACTCTAAAATCTCTGGTTGAAGATGAGCACAGAAGTATGTAAGAGAAAAGGCAGCAGCTTCACGAGGTACTGGATTACTATCCTGTAAATAATCTTGTGTTAACTTTAACACGTATTGTACTCTATGACGAAGATAACCTGGATTTCCTTCTGCTAAACAAGCAAGTGAAAGAATAGCGGCTTTGCGTTCAAGAGGTCCAGCTTGTGGAGTTTCTACCACTTGTGAAATAAGGGGAATAAGTACACCCGTAAAAGACTTTGCAGACACTTTTGTAGCCAATGTACTAAGCAAACGTCCAGCGTACATACAAGGTGGATTTACATGCAACATCTCTGTATCATCATCATCATCATCATCGTCGTAATTACCATTCGAATTCATATGGTTATGATTATCATCTTCGCCCTCATCTTCCTCCTCGACATGTGCCATCTCTGGAAGAGAAATGGTGCCGTCCTCGCCCATGACACGCATGCATGCAGTGATAATGGGTTCCAGCAATACTTTAGTAACAAACTTTGGCTTCTCATTCACAAGCGTCACGAGTAATTCACTACTGTTCTGTCGTACACGCGGCTGATTCGTTGGGTTCGCCAATACTGACAACACATCCAGAGCCACATCGCGGAGAAGTGCCTCATGCCGCCGCACGCTCAGCTCCCCGATGAGTTGCTCCAGTAAATCCAGCACGCCAACACACAAACTCGCCATTCCACTCACGGCGGCGTACTGTGTGAGTAACGATCGGCACTGCGGCACCACACGCAACAGCAACAACTCCCGCACCTCCCGCCGCTCCACAACAAACGGCAACAACACCGCAACGGCCCGCAGCGCCGCCCGCAAGACCGTCACGTCCGAGTCCGACATCCCCCGCACCACCGCGTCCGCGACGAGTCCGCTAAGACTGCCGCACTCGCCCACCACCTCCGCAATGCTGTACGCCAGCACCATCGCCAGTTCCCGCATCTCCACGCGGGGATCCTCCGCGGCGGTGCGGATCGCCTGCTGCAGCTCCGGCCACACACCGCCGCTCTGCAGAGCATCCGCCCGCGCAATGCGGGAAACAAGATGGGCCACCGCAAACCTCACCACACGCACCGGCTCGACACCAAGCTGGGTGAGAAGTATACATTTAAGCTCCGCGCGTGACTCCATTGGAAGCGCCTGCCATAGTGAAAACACTTTTTTACGAAGAAGCACAGCAGCAAGTTGGCGAACACCCGCAGTTGCACCTTGCATGTCCTGCAAAACATTCACCAAATGCATAAGTGTACCAGGTTTATTTAGAGACTGCACCACAGACGCCTCTACAGTACGACGTTCATTGTTATCGGTTGAATTTAGGATGGTGTAGAGCATGCGGTGAAGGTCCGCCAAAGTAAGGTCATTCTCACTTGTGACAGGAGGCATTATTTTTTTTTGTTGTTGTTGTTGCTGTTCTTCTTTTCCTTTTTTTTTGTTTTCCTCTCCCTCTTTCTCTCTCTCCCTGTGTGTGTGTGTTAACGCACTTCTAGCAAGAAATTCAAAAGAAGAAAAAAAAAATTAGGGGAATTATACCTATTCCAGATTGATATGGATGTATAAGAAAGAAAACTCAAGTTGTCCTTGAGCATTTTACTTTCCTCATTGTTCTTATTATTATTATTTTACTTATTCCTTTTTCTTTTGTTCTTTATTAATTGTTCATTTTGTTTGTAATTAGGCTACCACATCCCATTGTTGGCAATGCATAGCTTACCAGTCTTTGGTACTACATCCCATCACCACACTATTACTAACCATAACGCTAAGATTGAGTGAGAGAAATGGAAGCAGCAACACCAGTAGAAAAAATACAAACAAACAAACAAACAAGAAGGTCTTTAAGGGGAAATGGAGTTTTCTCCTCATGGTGTCCCATAGAAACACAGAGAAAAATATACAGAAAAAAGAAAAAAAAAGAAAAATAGAATTAAAAAAAAAAAGATCAAACAGAGTAATCACAAAGTGGTACTTTTTTATTTGTTTCACTTGATGTATCGTCTCTTCGTTTTATTGCTTTTCTTTTTTTCCCCCTCTTCCTTTTCTCGTTTTCGCTCTTATTTACTCCTTTGTCCCTTTGATTTCATTATTCTTTCTTTTTTTTTCTCTAATTATTTTTTTTTTTTTCTGCTTTAAGAAAAGGAAACCACCATGTTTGCTCAGCTGCTGCTGTTCCACCATCTAGTACGGCTTCTGAATACCGCACACAGACACACACACACCATCCCCTCATGTTTTCATTCTAAACGGCGTACTTGGAAACCATGGAGAAGATCATGCAGATTAAGTACGTTACGAAGAGAATCACATCAACGGCAATATGCATATAAGACTCACGCTCTAATCGGCCCATCTCACGCCATAGACTTGTCGCATCCACAAAGAAGACCCCACGGTACATACGCCAGAAAAGGAACAATAAGGCGAGTAGAAAAAATACAGACACTACGACGCTATCAAGAAAGAATAATGCATGTATGGACTGCAGCACACGAAGAGCAACATAGATTTCGAGTACTGGATTAACAGTTCGCTCACATTCTAACACGTTGAGGCACTTATCACGACAATCCGCAATATTGAGGGCGAAAATCATAGCGAAGATAAGCATAATAAGTTGCATAAGACCAGAAGCTACCCATGCACCTATAAAGTGCAGAAGACTTGCAAAGAAGGTCCCAATAGCAATACAGTATGCGAAAAGGAAAAAGTATGCCCGTTTTCGCTCTCCAGCGGAGTGTTTTGATGGATTACAGAGTGTATGCCACACTTCTCGCTGCTGCTCAAGGAAACGCATGACTCCGGATCTATTGAATGTTTAAAATTCTTTTTTTTTTCTTTTTTTGTTTATATTATTTCGTTATCGCCTTTATCTACGGATCCCAACAAAAACACAACAACAGTGCACGTGTGGGGACCAGATCTTCTTCATAGATGAAATAGTATTGCATTGAAATACAAAAAAAAATAAAAAAAAAATAGAAAAACAAATAGGAGAGAACGAAAAGAAAAAAAAAGAGAAAAAAAAAAGAATCAATGAGGTAAATAGTATAACCAAAATATAAAGAAAGGAAAGAAGAAATGTACGGAAAACATAGAAAGATTGAATATCGTATTAGTTTACACGCGTTTGGTTTCGCATTGCGTTCTTGTTTACCCACCCCCTTTCCCTTCTGCGTACTTAACCCCTCTATTAAGAATAAAGGGAAAAAGGGAACATATATATATATATATCTAGAGAGAGATATTAATACGGAGATAACAATAACAACCAACACACAAGTACACGCACACATATACAACAAATACACAATGAATCTTTCTTTTCCCCCTCTTCCTTTCATACACCAACACACAAACACACACACATAGTCTCTCTCTCTCTCTCGTCCCTTCTCTCTCTATGCATCTATGTTGAAGGACCACCAGGTGACACCATGTGCTGCTGTGGCCACAAGCGCATACTTTGAGTTCACACTCAACGCAACGGGAACATCACTGTCTTTGCATTGCAGTTCAAACCGCAGTTGCCCTTTACTGCACTCCTGCGAGATCTGCGAGGCGTCGTATCCGCCGTAGACCAACAGATGACGTCCGGCATTCATAAATGTAGACGGCTGCACCACTAACGACTCGGCGAGATTGGGAAAAACATACTTTGCGCCAACAGCATCACCAGCGCCTAAAAAATGGCGTCGTGCCGCATCGTGAAAATACGAGCAAGCCACAACTTCACGGCCCATATCATAAACAATAGCTTCACCAGAGGAAGATGTAAGCAAGAGATGACGACCATCTGCGCTCACTTCGGCTCCTTTACACCGTGAGGCTGCACCCGAGTCGGTGAAAATGGTTTTGTTCTCTACAGACAACAATGGTGTGCTGAACATCTTACGACAGTCAAATACACGCACATGATAATCGTCTCCAATGACGAGTTTCCCACCATCTGGGCTGAAGGACACTGCCCCTCTGTTTCCCACCACTGTGCGTTCCCCAGAGGCCGCAAGAGCACCGGAGATGAGTGGGTGAAATAACAACAACCGCCCTTGTGTGGAGAAAACAGATGCAATCACATCACTTTGTGGACACTGCGCAATGGTTGAATACACCGGTGTATTTACAGTAGCGCGAAGCTCCGGCACCTCATCACTAATAAACGCCATAGCAGCAAAGAACTGTGCCGTGCTAAGACTCAAGAGATACAAGTGACCATCCCCACTATGCCGTGGAGCCACGCAGACCACATCACTGGACTGTGTAAACTTCGCGCAGTGCACACCGAATGCCTCCAACTGTATCGTCTCTGTGTGCCGCATTGCCGTCACGTCCAGCAGCCGCAACGCGTCATCGGCGTGTGATGAGATGAAATACCGTCCGTCCAGTGAGAAGTCCATCGTGACAACACGCGGGTCGCTAATGCCGTTGAAGAAGTGTGAGGCCACCTCAATGGGGCCACTGTCGGGCACACGGGACATGGCACTCTACTGCGTACACCAGGGGAGTCCCTCAACACTATTATCGAACATACTCAATGCCACGAGTAGAGAGAAGAAAAGAAAAAGAAGAAGAAAAGAAAAACAAGAAAAACATGTGCAAAAAAAAAGGGGAGAATAGAGAAAAAGAAAGGAGACAAAATAACCAAAAATAAAAAAAGAAACAAAATAAAAAAAATGCAAAAAAAAAAAAAAACACTTGAATCCCTCATACTCAAGTGGAAGAAAGAGAATGAGAAATCGAGAGGAAGAAAAATGTATATTAGGCGGTGTGAGTTAAATATTTCTCTCTTTCTCTCTCTCTCTCTCTCTTTTTTTTTTCTTCTTTTTGATTTGTAAATGTTTTTTTTAAATCGTTTCGGTTACCTTAAAAACTTCTCTTTTTTTTTTCATTGAAAAAAAAAGAAAAAATCTTTTTAGCTTGATCCACTGCCTTAATTCAATCAGGAATTATGAACGTCATGAGATGGGCAAACCCAAGTTGAGTAAATGCAGCGGAAGAAGAGTCTTTTTATCACGTATAAGAAGTGATGATGATGTGCTGACTGTTGTCTCTTCTGGTGTTGCACGGATAATGTGTGCATGCAATTCTAATGCTAGTTGTAGCAGCTGCTCATCTGCATTTTGCACATTTAGCCAATATCCAATGAGAGGATTTAAAAATAGAATAACAAGTACGTGACGATGCTCAGCATGTGCAAGAATTTCACGTACACGCAATAATGCTTTTAAAACATATGATTTACCCATCAACAGACGAATGCCTACAGATGAGAAGACTCGTTGTACAAGAGAAAAATCCCGATGGAGTGGATAAATAAGAGCACGGCGTGCAAAAAATATACAAGCATCATATAAATTATCTGCAGGATCAAGCCATGAAAGAGCAGGACTTAATTTACAAATATTCCAGAGTGATTCACTACAGCCACTTCCTTCCGTTACAATATCATCATAAGCCTCTGCGAAAAGAATATCTGCTGTGAGGGCATTCACAACAGATGCAGTGGGAGGAAATAGTAATCTTGGTGCTGTAATGTGAATCATGACTTGATGTTCTTCTTGTGTAAAGGAGGCAGATGGACGTTGTTGGGGAACAGCCAGTACTGCACTTCTACAAGGTACATTTCCAGCCGTAATAATTTCCTCACTATTGTTGTCCATAGGCATAGTAGCTTCCAATGTTGGTACTTCTTCAATAAGTGGCTTCTTAAACTCTGCGATATTGCCTGCCCATACATCCACTACGCCTGTTGAGATTGGAAGCACCGCATCCTCATCCTCCAATACATCCTCAGCGTTAGTACTCATAGTATTATTATTATTATTATTATTATTATTATTATTATTATTATTAGTGGGAACAGGGGCTTCCATCGCAGCTGCAGCGGGAGCCACATAACGTATACCTTCTCTCTCCAACGCGGCTACATATTCTAAACGGTGTTCGGGTACGTAACTCAACAGCCGTCGCACTTCACCATCGGCATCTTCAAAACTCACAAGAAGAGCGTCTTCGTCAAAGGCATTACTTTCATCCTGTAGACGAAGTTGTCGTCGTTGGGCTGCAGTTGTCTCGTCTGGATTGATGGGTAAGTCAAGCACATCCGCAACAACATCCGGGTCGCGTGAGGCGAACAAACCTGAGAAATTCCCCGCAAAGCCGTAATCACCGAATCCAGTTTCTCCTCCCAAAGGACTTGAAGGTAACTGTTGGCGAAATTCCATTTCATCCTCTTCTAACAGTGCGGTATTGGATGCTTCCACACTACTTTCAGTCCCGCCTACAAGCTGTACAAGTTGAAGTCGTTCTTTTTCTGTAGCGATCAAGTAGGCTGGATTATCTAATTGCGTGAACACTTCCCCAGGAGATTCTTTTGGGATGTATACAGTCAGTATATTTGTCTCCACAGCAAATGTGGCCCGCTCTCCACAACCTTCAACGATGGGTTGATCAAATTTAAGTCGAAGATAATATGGCGCGCAGTGAAAGGTGAATTGGTGTCTCAGAATACTAAACACAGCCTTTGTTACTTTGCAAAGAGCAGACAATGTAATAGAAACTATAATAAACGAATCATCTTGCGTACATACAAAGATCGGTGTCAACATCTCCAAGAAACACACAGACAGACTCTTTCTCTCTCCTTCAATTTATTTATATGTATCCTACTCTTTCTTCTACTCTTTATATCCCTTCTAGTGAGAAGTTAAACCCTTCTCTTCCCCACTTTTTTCTTCTGCTGTCTATTAAACGACCTTACCAACTTCACCATCAAGAGTTAATAATAATAATAATAAAAAAGAGAAAAGAAAAAAGAAAAAAGTGCAAGATTAAAGATATAGAATTTATAATAATAATAATAAATAATACTAATAAACGCAAGGTCAACAACATCTATAAATCTTGTTAACATAACATAACACGTGAAAAGTTCAACTATGCAGCAGTGCTGCAATTTCCTTCTCCGCCTGCAGATTCCTCTGCCCCGGTGAAAGTTGAACAGCTGCCCTAAAATCACACAGTGCGGACTCATTATCACCCAGTGCCCGACTCGCCAGGCCGCGGCGGTACAACACCTTCACTTTGAGATCGTTGGGCAGCGGACTGGCCGTACTGTCGGGCTGCTGCAGCAGCAGAGTGGCCATTATCCGCGCCTCCTCCGGCCGCTGCAGCCGCAGAAAGACCATCACTACATTCGCCCGCACTGTGTAGTCAACTAACATCGACTCCGCGTCCACATCGCGGAGGGCTGCGGTCACGTCCAGACACTCCTGATACGCCGCGAGTGCCTCTTCATAGCGGGAAGCCTGAAAGTGTGCATTCGCGCGTTCTTTCAGAGAGTGGAGCATATCGTGATAGCGACGCTGCTCCTCTGTGTACTCCACTGGAGTGCCGTTCTTCTTGTTTACATCCACACTTGTGCGGCGGCCCCGTCGGCGTGCGATTGTGTAGAGAAGCACAGATGGGATGATCACAGCAATCCCCGTCAGTAACATCCATCGACGTCGGCCCATCCCGTCAGAAATGACTAACAAACACAACAAAGAAAGAGAAGAGAAAGGGAGAAAAAAAAAAAAAAGAGGATGTCTGATTTATTTACGAGAACTTATCAAAACGACGAATGTCAGTAAAACAAAGGGAATGTGACTGCGGTTTACATTGCGTCAACGTCTGCCCGTTCTTTTTTTTTTTTTTTTTTTTTTTTTTTTTTTTTTTTTTTTTTT